AGGCCCCGAGGGCAGAACTGAAAAATGCAGTATTTGAAAGTGGCGCCCGAATTGCAGCATGGCGCCAGTTGTCCAAAATCCTACGGTACCAAAGGAGGGGTTTGGAAAAAGGGTGCCAGGCCGAAAATGGGATGCAGCCGAAACAGCAAAAGATAGACCAGGGATCGAGCCCTGGCGAAGTCCGTAACAGAAAGGCCACTTCCGGACCTTCCGGAAGTCCGTAGACTTGGCCTTTCGGTACCGTAGCAGCTACGACCTTTGACCCTTCGGAGGGGCTACAGCTACGACTCCTAGGACCTGCTAAGACCTGCAAACGACAGGTCTACAGATCGAACCCCTACAACCTGCGGACCTACGACAGCCTACCAACTACTGCGAATACACAAGTCACGGGTTCAACCCTCAAGATCGACTCAGATACTGTACACAGGTGAAGTGAGGGCTACGGTAGGGATCGAGCCCTGGGATCTGCATCAGCTACTGCGAAAGGTGGAATCCGTTTCAGTTAGGTCAACAAAATTCGTGATTTTGGGGACTAATTAGTATGCCCTAATCAATCAATCAATCAATCAATCAATCAATCAATCAATGATCAATCAATCAATCAATCAATCAATCAGTCAATCAATCAATCAATCAATCCATGATCAATCATTCAATGAATAACTAATCAACCAATCAACCAATCAACTAATCAATAGTCCCCGCACACGTTTCAGATCAGGTTGTCCTGATTCACGTGCGGGGCTCCGATACCAACTGATACATGCCCAGTTGGGCAATGTATGTACAGCCAAGGATCCGCGACGTGATGAAAAGGACTGAATGGACAATGCAATGTTAGTGAAGCATCAACAAGCAATGTACACCCTGATACATACGGAAAGGCACAAAATAGCGCAGTGGAAGACTTGGATATAAGTCCTGACCTGACCGGGACTGACACGCCATCCCACCATACATCACACATGTGAGAGGAGGAGGAGGGACCGCACACAAAGAAGGAAGGTCCCTCCTTGCACACACACATGGGGAGATACCACAGATGTGAGATGGGGGGAGAGGTGCTGAAGGCGAGGGAGAAGACCAATATCGCAATGGCGATGTCCAAAGATAGTCCCTTGCCAATGCCCAATCAATGTCTGTCTCAGAAATGTCGAACCAGATCCTGGGCGCAATGCCCACTGTAACCCCTGCCTGGATCCTCTGCCTGTAACCTCCCTCACTCTTGCATCTGAAGAAGACGAAGAAGAAGAAGAAGAAGAAGAAGAAGAAGAAGAAGAAGGAGGGAGGAGGAAGGAGGAGAGAGAGAGAGAGACGAGATGGAGGACGAGGAGGAGGAAGAAGAATGCCGTCCTCGTCGCTGTCTCACCTGGAGGTAGCTGCCACCGTACTGACTGTTGTGGTCGCTCTGTGCAGGTACCGCGCGGAGTCCCCAGCTATGGCGCCAGGTACGTTCCCCGCTACAGGTAGGCCTCCACCTCTCTCTCGTCCTCCTACACCTCTACTCCCAGCTTCGCTGCGTAGCGCTAGGATAGCGCAGCCTCCAACCAGCGGCGTGTCGCTCAAGAAGTGAGCTGGCGAACTGTTCGTTGCCCAGCCGCTGCCCAGCTATATGTAGTGCTGGGCGGGCTGGGCCTACCTGGTGCTGGCCTCAAAAACGGCCCAGCCGGTCTGGGTCCCTACCGGATGTCCAGACCCTGCTGCTGATGCAGCAAGGCACGAAAACGCGCCTGGGCTCTTTAGGCCCTGCCTCCGGTGTACCCGTTGGGACTGCAAGTGAAACGGTTTTCACCTTTTAGCAGTAGCGGATGCAGTACCCAGGGCTCGATCCCTAGACCTCACCCTACCCATGTACAGTATCTGTGTAGACCTCGAGAGTTGAACCTGTGACCTGTGTATTCGTAGACAGTTGGTAGGTCTGTCGTAGGTCCATAAGCAGCAGGGGTTCGATCTGTAGGTCTATAGAGTAGAAGTCTTAGCGAGTTCCAGAAGTCTAGCTGTAGTCCTTCTAGAAGGTCGGCAAGTGGGCAAGTGGTCAAGTGGCGAGGCAAGTGGTGGACTAAACTACAGTGCAATCGCAGTACGACGACGGTAGGATAGCAGTGAGTCCACAGACAGTCAGAAGTAAGGTCCAGTCAGTCCCAGTCCGGTCCAGCAAGTACCACGGGGGACTGTGCACACCATGGGCCGATGGCAAAGGGCAGACCAACGAGTTTCCGAAGTATAAATCAAGAGGCAGCGCCCAGCCTTTCATTCATTCCTGCGTGAGCCATGCCGAAGCGCTGTCACAGCGACTTGTGCAAGGAGGTCTGCAGTGAGCCCGGAGGATGCAGTGGGCGAGAGAGGAGGAGTTAGCATAGCGATAGGGTAGAGGCAGCCATAGCTGCCATAGCTGTAGTTAGTGGGAAGTATGTGTGTGTGTGTTCGAGTGTTCAGAGTGACGTGTGTGGGATATCCAGGGTGATCCGGTGTATGTGAACAGCAAGTTGTTTGGGCTCTGAGCCGCCATAGCCAATTGGAAGTGAACTCGTATCTGGTTGTCATATCTCTGAGTTTTGAGTGGGCGCATGTCGCCAGTTTGCTGCGCTGCTGTTTACATGCATGAAAAATGTGAATAAGAACGAGTCTGATTGCACAAGTCCGAAACGACACCTGCACAGACAACGAAGGGGCAGCAGATAAATAAATAAATAAATAAATAAATAAATAAATAAATAAATAAATGCCGCCTATATTCGCCATCTGTGGCCTGGGGGCCGCCGTGGGCCTCCAGGGCGCATGTCTGATGGGCATGCGGCCTGGGGGCCCCTCAGCAACCGTCGGGCCCCTTAAATGGGGCCCGTGTGCAGGCGCAGCATGTAACAGTCCTGCTCTTGTGGTGAGTTATTTGACCTGTGCTGGAAAAGGAACCCCATTGATGGATGCTCTCCAGAATAGAAGCAGCACCATCAGAAACAAAAAACGAAAAAGAAACTCGCTATATATCCATCTGGGTTTGTGTTGCATGATGCACCTACAGTTTGCCCTCGATGATTGTGTCGATGGGATCAACCACCCACTGAATGACCAGTGGCTCCGGATCGACGTTGCCGAGCTCGTCAAATGCTGCAACTGTGAAGGAGTACGCACCCGGAGCAAGACCGGTCAACTCCTCTGTGATGTTGCACTTTGTGCGAATTTCAAAGTCGGTGCCATTCAGTGAAGATTCGTTGCGAGGGCAGAGCTTATCCACCTTCCCGGGAATGCGCGAGTCCTGAATCTTGAACCCAGCAGTAAATATGTCATCACTGGAATAAGCTAACTTCACTGTTGTGGCCGCTGAGCTCACTGTCTCAAATGACATTAACTCAGTGTTCGGTGCGGTCATGTCTGCCAGCATATTAAGCAGTTCCAAACAGCAATGTCCATAAGTCAGCAATGTTAATGTATAAGACTTTCATGGCATAAACTACCCCAAGAGGAACTCCCAAAAAAAACAGGAAAAAAAACATCCAACAGGTCCGAACTGAGCGAAGAACAATTCCAAACTGGACCATACAGGACTTCTAAACAAAATCCCAACATGGAGGTCAGGGAAAGGCATACTCAGAAATCAGAGACAAACACAGAGCAGCAATAAATGCAGAACCCAACACTGGAACGAACCACAAACAATGCTGCTGGTGAAAGGAGGGATAACCTGACTCATTCAGGTTGTTGAGATGGTCACTACACACTGCTGTAGCAGAGAGAGAATCCTCAGCAAGGAACAAAGTGACTATCATACACTCACATCATATGGAAAACCCAGCAGACTGTTGGTTCACGCCCCGTCAAGAGCCAGGGAGTCACCCGACAAATGTCCATCGCCAGTGAAAAAACGTGAAGACACAGGCATCCAAAACACAGTGCCCTCCCAGAGAGTGTTACACGCACTCTGAACAAACAGGCACCGACTATTTGGCACAGCTTAGAGATAGTCAACTTTGGTACTTAGAAAACATGCGGGAAAGCCCCAAACCACATCGCAAGACACAACGACATGGAGAGAACTGTTAGGAGAGCACGAATGACTTGTAAGTTGTAACTAGCAAAGCGCCCGCAGTGCGGGCGGTGCGGGCCATGCCCGCAGAAATAAGAGATGTTGTAGGCAACCTGACGCGGACCACTCGCATAAACTGAGACAGACTTAAAAAAAAAAAAAAAAAAAATCACAGGGTAATAAAGAATGGCCTAAAACTGGCTACGAAGTCTGAATTTAATTGATGAATAGCTTCGCGTCTGTGGTGTGGGCGGTGCGGGCTACGCCTGCAACCAAAACTACCGAAATGGTAAAGAAAATACCATAGAGTAGAGGAGACTAGAGGAGAGTGTCGTAGAGTGCCGTAGAGTGTCGTAGAGTGCCGTAGAGTGTAGTAGAATAGAGTAGAGTGTCATAGAGTAGAGTAAAGTAGAGTAGAGTACAGTAGAGTACAGTAGACTATAGTAGAGTAGAGTAGAGTAGAGTAGAGGAGTAGAGTGTTGTAGAGTCGTGTCGTAGAGTAGAGTAGAGTAAAGTAGGGTGTCATAGAGTAGAGTAGAGTGTCATAGAATTTCATAGAGTGTCGTAGCGTGTCGTAGAGTAGAGTACAGCAGAGTGTCGTAGAGGAAAGTAGAGTAGAGTAGAGTAAAGTAGAGTATAGTGACATAGAGTGGAGAAGAGTGTCCTCGAGTAGATTACAGTAGAGTGTTGTAGAGTGTCGTCGAGTAGATTACAGTAGTGTCGTAGAGTGTTGTCGAGCAGATTACAGTAGAGTGTCGTAGAGGAGAGTAAAGTGTCGTACAGTAGAGTAGAGTATCATAGAGTAAATTGTCGTACAATAGAGTAGAGTAGAGTAGAGTGGAGTATCATAGAGTAAATTGTCGTATAGTGTAGTAGAGAGAAGTAGAGTGTTGCAGAGTAGAGTAAAGTAGAGTGTCGTAGAGTAGAGTAGAGTAGAGTGTCATAGAGTACAATAGAGTAGAGTAGAGTATCATAGAGTGTCGTAGAGTATCTAAGAGCAGAGTAGAGTGGAGTAAAAGATAGTGTCGTAGAGTAGAGTAGAGTGTTTTAGAGTGTTGTAGAGTACAGTGTCGGAGAGTAGAGTAGAGTACAGTGTCGTAGAGTAGAGTATTGTAGGGTGTTGTAGAGTAGAGTAGAATAGAGTAGGGTAGCGTAGAGTAGCGTAGAGTAGAGTAGAGTGTCATAAAGTAGAGTAGAGTGTCATAGAGTAAGTAGAGTGTCGTAGAGTATAGTAGAGTGTCGTAAAGGAGAGTAGAGTGTTGTAGAGTAGAGTATCGCAGAGTTGATTGTCGTAGAGTAGAGTGAGTAGAGTAGAGTAGAGTAGAGTAGAGTAGAGTAGAGTAGAGTAGAGTAGAGTAGAGTAGAGTAGAGTAGAATGGAGTAGAGAAGAGTAGAGTGTCATAGAGTTTAGTAGAGTGTCGTCGAGTAAATTACAGTAGAGTCTCGTAGAGGAGAGTATCATAGAGTACATTGTCTTAGAGTAGAGTAGAGGAGAGGAGAGTATAGAAGAGTAGAGTAGAGTAGAGTCGAGTAGAGTGTAGTATAGTAGACTAGAGTGTAGTAGGCTAGAGTGTCGTAGAGTAGGGTACAGTTGAGTGTCGTAGAATACAGTAGAGTAGAGTGTCGTATTGTAGGGTGGAGTAGAGTGGAGTAGAGTGGAGTAGAGTAGAGTAGATTAGATTAGATTAGAGTAGAGTAGAGTAGAGTAGAGTAGAGTAGCGTACCGTAGAGTAGAGTAGAGTGTCGTAGGGTGTCATAGAGTGTCGTAGAATAGAGTAAAGTGTTGTAGAGTAGAGTGTCATCGAGTAGAGTAAAGTGTCGTAGAGTACAATATAGTAGAGTACAGTAGAGTAGAGTAGAGTAGAATAAAATGTTGTAGATTAGAGTAGAGTATAGTAGAGTGCCGCAGTGTCGCAGAGTGTCGTAGAGTGTCGTAGAGTATCGTAGAGTGTCATAAAGTAGAGTAGAGTGTCGTCGAGTATATTACAGTAGAGTGTTGTAGAGGAGAGTAGAGTAGAGTGTCGTAGAGTGTCGTAGAGTAGATTGTTGTAGAGTAGAGTAGAGTAGAGTAGAGTAGAGTACAGTAAAATGTCATAGAGTGTCGTAGAGTAGAGTAGAGTAGAGTAGAGTGGAGTAGAGTAGAGTGTCGTAGAGTAGAATAGAGTATCGTAGAGTAGTGTCGTAGAGGACAGTAGAGTGTTGTAGAGTAGAGTAGTGTAGAGTGTCGGAGAGCAGAGTAGAGTAGAGTACAATAGAGTAGAGTTTTGTAAACTAGAGTGTCGTAGAGTGTCGTAGAGTGTCGTAGAGTGTCGTAGAGTAGAGTAGAGTAGAGTACAATAGAGTAGGGTAGAGTAGAGTAGAGTAGAGTAGAGTAGAGTAGAGTAGAGTACAAAAGAGAGGAGTAGAGTAGAGCAGAGTGTTGTAGAGTGTTGTAGAGTGTCGTAGAGTGTCGTAGAGTGTCGTACAGTAGAGTATAGTAGAGTAGAGTTGTTGTAGAGTAGACTGTCGTAGAGTAGAGTGTAGTGTCGCAGAGTAAAGTAGAGTAGAGTATTGTAAAGTGTCATAGAGTAGAGTGTCGCAGAGTAGAGTAGAGTGTGTGTGTGTGCGATTTCTTTTTATTTATTTATTTATTTATTTATTTATTTTTATTTTTATTTTTTGGTGTGTGTGTGTGTGTGTGTGTGTGTGTGTGTGTGTGTGTGAGAGAGAGAGAGAGAGAGAGAGAGAGAGAGAGAGAGAGAG